TTGCCTACCACCAAGCAGCAGCTGAGCTTAGCAGCAGGGGCAGGAGGTTTGCTAGCCCAAGGCATCAGCTGGGGGCACAGTGGGCAGCAAGGGCTTCTGGCTAGCCATATGCAAACCCAGCTGGTATAGAGCAAAGCAAGGAAGGGATGAAGAGATGGGCAAGGCTCACAGAAGGGAGGGATAGTTCAGGGCTTGGCCAGTGTGGGTGGAGCCCCAGGTATCAAAAGGGAGATACGAGGAGAGATGAGGAAGGCAAGCTGGCTAGGAAAGTCTGAGAAGCCTTTCTGCTTCTTCAGGCACCTTCAGATTAAAAGATTCCTTAAGCCATTTTGTCATAAAAGTTTATATGGCTGTATATTTTCCTGCACCTTCTTTAAAGCCTCTAAAACATAACTTACAGCATCTGGAATGGTTTTCAGCATAACCCAGTTTATATAATTATTTACTTCTTTTGTATCCCATCTTTCTCCCCAGTGGGGACGCAGAAGTGGCTTATACCATTCTCCTCTCCTCTCTTTTATCCTCACAACAGCCTTGTGAGGTATGTTAGGCTGAAAAGTATGGCTGGCCCAAGGACACCTAGCAAGCTTCCCTGGCATGAGTGGGGATTTGAACCCAGGTCTCCCTGATACTAGTCTGACACTCTTAACCACTACACCACACTGGCTCTCAGTTTATCTTTCAAGTGCTGGTTTGCCTTTTCAAGTTTTTTGCAATGGTCACTGTTTGCTCCATGGTGGTGGTGAAAAGTGCCGCCAAGTCATAGCTGACTTATGGTGTTTTCAAGGCAAGAGCTGAACAGAGGTGGTTTGCCATTGCCTGACTTTGTGTAGCAATCCTGGACTCCCTTGGTGATCTCTCGTCCTAGTACTAAGCAGGGACAACCCTGCTTAGCTTCAGAGATCTGGTGAGATCAGGGTAGCCTAGGACACCCAAGTCAGAGTGTTTATTCCATAGAGACTTCTAAATGAAATACTCCCTCATTCAGTAGTTTTCTTCCTCTTCAAGAGAAGAAAGTAATGCAGTCATATTAGCTTTCAGTTCAGCTTTAAGACCTCCAAGATGAGTTACAGATAACTGTTCTGTCTCACTTCTAGTAATGGAGATAGAAGCCTGTTTGTTTGCTAGTTATGTTCTATATATCCCTGTTACAGAATTTGGCTTTTTGATCTCAACTTAGCAGTGATGTGGGACAGAAATATTCCAAGGTGAAAATTTTCCAATGCTACATTTTTCTATTGAAAAATTCCTGCCTGCATATTTTATTTATTGATGTATGTAAAACATTTATTAGCTACGTTTGTTCCTTGCAGAGCTCCAGGTAGCTTACAACAGAAATAAAACATATTTACATATTTAAATAGTGTCTGTCTATAGCTGTCTAGGGTGGTTGTGCTGCAGATCAATCTTGCTAGATGGGCTGAATGTGGGACATGAAGCATGGGCGAACCCTAGTACTTTTACATGGTCCAGGCTTGTGTATTTACCATGCAGTCCTATGCAGAGTTACTCCAGTCTAAGCCCATGGAAAGACTGGAGTAACTCTGCATAGGATTGCACTGTTAATCAATCATATTTGAATTGGAAAATTTTCTGGTTTTGACCTCCCCAGAAAACCCTCATCACTGCAACTTACCCCCAAGCACAATTCCCTATTACTTGAAGGCTTAATATAAAGGGCACTTAGGAAGGAAATCAGAGCTTCTAGTGCTTAGTTCAGCCTTGCACTTATGTACTTATTCCCCACTGAAGTCTCAGATTGACATATAACATTTGGGTGTTAGTGGGCTTGTCAGCTTTCAGTGCTTATTTGCAAAGCTGTCAAAAGCTGAGTGGTTTTTCAGTGAACATAGTTTTTAAGCCACTGATGACATCCTAAAGCAGAATTGTTGGTGCAATGTCACATTACTTGCCATTTCTCTTCTGGTAAACAAGGATGCAAACAACTAATAATGGAAGCTAAATATAGTGTCTGTTGGTTCATTATGTGTAAAACTAACTAAACCACTTGATTTTTATTTTG